GCAGTAGCAGTATTTGTTCTGCCATGTAAATGATAACATAGAAATTTCCTAGAAACACAAAAGTAAAAGCTGATCGCAGTCGCAGTAACTTCTTGGAGACGAGAAAAAAATTTTTAGTCAAAGGGACGGTGAGAGATAGACAAGAGGAGAGCACAAGCACATGTGGCTCCGGCTTTCACGATTTGAGGGGTGGGGGAGTGGGTAGAACTCTAATTATTCTTACTTGTGCATATGAAAATCACCAGCTTTAGTTGTCCACTCAAATCTATTGCTTCTCTGGTCAAAGACACATCAATCTCTGCCCTGAATTATAGAATGGTAAAATACTCAAACATATAATGTACTGTGACATTTTATAATAGATTTTAAATATAAAATCTATTTTGTAATGCAAATTGTATTACAAAATAAACCTTATATTTATAACTAAAAGAATTATAAATTGTTTATATATATTTCTTCGTGTATCTGGTAAAAAAATTGGGAAAAAGATTATTGAAACACCCACATCAGTCACCGTTTCTCTGCCTACGCTGATGTCAGTGAGTGATGGTAAGGATTATTGAAATGAACTAATTTTGGTTTGAAATTGGTGAATAGTGAATCTCTGGGCTGGGGTAGCTAGCTCCTTGTCCTAGCTAGCGATTGGACCTAATAACAAAACCAGAGCAGAAAGCAGAGAAACAGTATGATGGAAGTTGGTGAGCCTTTGGATTGGCGATTTGATGGTGAAGATTGAGTTTGAGTGGCGTGGGGGCCTACAGGAAATGAGGGCGGTAGAAGAGTGGCAATTCCTTTTTCTGAAAGGAATAATCCTGGTTGCTAGTTACTAATAGTGGCAAAACAAAGCTCTTGGAAGTCTAGTTTTAGTTAGGAGGAAAGGTTCAGTCAGGAGGAAAGTTCAAACAGAGAGAGTGCTACTATTTGTTTGGAACAGATGGACCATAGACATGGGTTTTAAGTTGGCGCTTGGGAGATTCACATACAATGCTCGAGGAAGAGAATTAATGCTTCAAAGCCTTTGAATTTTAGAAAGTGTTTCCATAAATTCTTCGGAGTCTCTCTCTGTCCCTTAGTCATGAGATGGAGAAGAAGAAAGAAAAATGTAAGGCTTTATCCACACGTAAGGAACACACATTAATAGATGTTAAAGGCTGACTTTTGAAAACGAAACTTTGACAATAAAAATCGTTTTGTTTGTCCTTAAGATTGAATATCAGCTTTTGCTGTCACGAGATCTCAGTCATCCGTTTTTCCCGTCACATAAACCTCTAACCCCGGCATGCCCTGCTCCAGCCGCATGCTCCAGGATATGATATGTCACTGATTATAAAGTTCATTGCTGATTTCTGGTGTTTGACTGATGCCAGTCCTTTTCATTTTCCTTGTTATTGTGTATAAAATCATGTGATTAGTATCGTAAAATTTAATGAAGTAGGGGTATGATAATTGATAAAAAGCATGACCTCTACCTATGTGGAAGTATGTTTTGAAATTTCCTCTTGATTGTTATATTTGACAATATCAAGTATGTTATGTGATGGCGGCCTTGAATTGAGTAGGATACATACACACACATATATATTTGTGCGTGTTATATTTTATATCATACGTGGTTTGTCATCACGAAGGTCCCAAAAATTTGCTTACATTCTGAAGGCCCTCGATGAGATTCTTTCTTTATAGTTTATATCCTGTAATGGGTTAGCTCCGGGCACACGAGAATTCTCAGTGTCTTTTTAACTGGAGAGAACTCATGGTCTGGCTCTCAGCTCTTTAGGCTTTGGTCTACTACAACTCATTACTAGAGAGTTCAGAGTAGTTCAATCACATAGATGAACCAAGTTGTACGTCTATTCGCCCATAAATTCAATCAAAGATTTCAATTAGGAATATGACAGGTGTTGTATTGATCGTGTGGGTTAAAATATTAAAATAAATCACAACTTAGCAACCATGTATGTTATAAATCTCTTCGCTAGCTCATAAATCACAGTTTGCTTGCTTGACTTGTGAGTTATTAAGCCAATATAAATTTATACTAGCTCACATTTTAATTATAAGACTTCGTTTGTAAACTATAAATAAAGTCTTATAATTAAATCGAAGTTAATATAATTTGTGACGTTATGCTAAATGATTTTTAATTCAGTTGATGAACATTTTTTATTAATAAATACCTAATCAGTAAAACATATGACACTTCAAACATGATGCTATGTGTTTTGATGAAAAAGAAAAGTAAAATGCCAGTTGCTTCATATTTTTGAGCTCTAGGGTGTCGGTTGTTCTTTTTGGCAAAAATGATTTATAACTCAAACTTATTAATTTGAAATTAACAATTAACGTCAATATCAGTTAGTCTAAGACTAAAGGTGACAGTGCAACGATTCTGATAATTGAGGAGTGAAGCCACTTCAACAAATAGTTGGAGATAATCAAAGCTTCATAAAAAAAATTATTTATATCATTATTTGGTATAAATTTTGTAACCACACAGTTTAATACTACATGAATAACATCAAGGACAGCTGAGTAAACATGTGAAAGCCACCAGAACAATAGTATGTGAAAGTTTTAGTAACATACGCACCAACAAAAACATCATATAAATACGCCTCATTTGTGTGTGGAGAATGGATCGACTTTACAATTGTCTCTTGAAAATTTTTCACTTGAGTTACTCCATTATGACAGTTCTAGAAGCTCAAATGAAAAATGCCCGGATTTATTGCCCTTTGCCACCTTCAATTATCCATCTTGTACTATTACTTCTCACTTGACAAGCTATATTCTCCTGCAGTTGTGGGAAACATTTGCATGTGCCTTGCAGACTTTTTTTTTTTTTAACTAACTTTTCCCCCCTCCCCATCTTGTAACTATCTGCTTATTTTTATCTGTGAATTAGATGCCAAATGATACAGTCCATCAGAACTAAAAAATTATTTATAAAGAAGATTGCGTAGTATTCACCCTCACATCTTTTTTTTGTTTCTTCTTTAGTTGTCTAATCATATGATTGCAGAAAATTTAATGCTGCGGCATTCTTTTGCAGAGCTTCACTTTGGGGCCTCCTTCAAGTTTTATTGATCTCATATTGTTTTCCCCTGTTACACATTCTTCTCTGTTGCTTCCTCAGCTCTTTCATCACACGGAGACTCATTTCAGACTCCATGGCTATTTTGCAACTCTACAACCTCGGCTTTTGATACCTAACAACCTGTTTTGGTTTTAGAATTAGGATAATTCAATATTGACCAGCCAACACAAGAACAAGCACCAGGACGCAGAACTTAACGTTTCAAGAACCAGAAAACACCTATTCAGATGTTCACTGTTCATGTCTTAAGCGGTAGAGTCGTAGGGATTTTCACAAACACTATGAATCCATAATCGAATTCTCACCATTGTGATGCCTTTTTGTGCGGCCCTTCCTAATCATAATTAGAGACACCACCATTTTAGAAATGAAAGATTCAAGTAGAAACAAAGATACACTGTGAACCAGGAAGCTTTGGCCAATACAGAGAGATTCATGCTGAGTATTTGTGATATAAGTATGGTGTTCCCAGTAGCCAAGAACGTTTCCCTCAAGAATATTTCTTTGCATTTCACAGTTATAAATGGTAAAAGTTCTATCAAGAGACCTTCTGGCTGGCTCTTCATTGAAATATCCGCAGAAGCCAAAGAAAAATGGAAGAGAAGTTCCTTCCATGACCAGAGAGCTAAAAACTTGAAGGTCCTGATACATAGGACACGCAATCTTCTTTCAGAAAACCAAGCAGAAATCAATTAGAGTAGGATTGGCTTACCACATGATTGGCTTACAAAGAAAAAAAGAAAAGGGATTACCAACCAATTGGTGAACACTTTGTGATTTGAATGTTTTGTACCCAATCTGGTGTGGCATCATTTTTCGTTTTGGTCAATTTCGTTCTGTCACATTAGTTATGAAACTTCCGCACAAAGAAAGCCAATTTATACGCTACCCCTCATTAAAGCAAGAACACTAGGAGCCAATTTGTCTAAAATTAAGCTTTCTCAGGTTACTTGATGTCTTGAACACGACACCTTTTCGTTATAATTAAAATGAAAAATATAACTTACACTTTTTTAAATTATTAGTTTGGTCATTTAAAACAACTTAGTTATTATAAATTTTTTTATTTGAAAAAATTAGTTCGTAATCTAGTAAATTGTAAGAATTGAGTCGTATAAAGTTAAAAAATTAATTGAATTGTTTTGAATCAAAATTCAGAAAGTGAATTAATGATTGAGGAAAATTTAATGAATAAAAGTTATACTTTTCAATTAAAAAATGAGGGTAAAATAACAAATAAATAAGTTGAAAAATGTGATATTTCAAATCAGTCATCTAAGAGTTAAAAATGATAGAGAAAAAAGTAGTGTCTGATCTGATAATTTATAAATATAGTTAAATGACCAAAATATCTTTATATCAAAAAACTTATTAATAAATTCTGAACTAACAATGACAAGTATTAAATAACAAAAATAACAAGGAATATATTAACAATGATAAGTTATTTATTAACAAGTTGTGAACTGGTAATAATAAATATTGAACAGCTAATGACAAATATGAATTTTTTTTAAAATATAATACAAAAGCATTTTAGTTATTTAACTGCATTTGCAAAATATTATATTACTCCCAGTCTTTAATATAAAAACTCATTTAACTTTTATTTTAGTCTTAATTATAAGATTTCAATTCATTTTGTTTTTCATACTTATCTACTTTTTTCTTAAAGTAGTTACTGGAATAATGATAGTTCTAACTTAATTCATCAGCAAGAATATTTTAGAAAAAAAATATTTATTTATTACAAATAACTAATTTAACTTATTTTTTTAATCTATTTAAATTGGCTTTTGTATTAAGTGCTGGAGGTGGTGTTAGGTATTACTCTCTCTCTCTCTCTGTGTCATTTTCAATTTTGAAGTCACTGAATTAGATATTGAGGTCGATGAGTTCGATTTTTCAACCGATCCCGGCACTCCATTTCCGTCCCTCCCTCCAAACCCTTTTTCTTCTGATTGCACTCGCTGCTACAAGCTCTGCGTCTAGTCCAACTTAGTCTTCTTTGTTGGCATACACAAAATTTCTCTTCCATCTTAATCTCGGAAACTTCTCGTTTCCCGTATCTTTGGAATTGACCGGAGTTTGATGAATCAGACGTCGCTGCCGGCTCAGAAAGACGAGTCTTTAAGGTGCGACATGAGGCCTGGTGAAGCATTCTTCCAGGGACCCAAAGTGGTTGTTGAAGATGATGGTAATATAGCTTCTTCTTCTCCTGTTGGGCCCATGATCAAGATCAGTGTCTCTCATGGTTCATCTCTGCACGAGCTCCAGCTCCCAGCTCAATCTACTTTCCGTAAGTCTTTCTTTTGGGTATTTCTTCAATTACGCTTGAATTTGAAGTATCGAATTTCATTCTATGTTTTAATTCGGCTTGAACATGGTGAGCTATATTGAGTCCTCGGCTGGGAAATAGCAACATTTTAAAAATAGGCTACATATCTTGTTTTGTGTCAATCTCAGCATGATGCCCTGTAATCATGCTTATTCAGTCGTTAGGCGAACTGGATTTTGGGACTCTGCATGATAACATAGTGTTTCATATGGGTCATGTATGGTATGTCTAACAGCTAAAGGTGGGAGCTTCTTGGAATTAGGATTGCTGTTTTGTTGGGTTCAGTGTTATAAATCATGTATGTTAAAATAATACATGGGTGAAGAACTTTAACTGATAATTCATTATGGACTTTGGGTTTCCTTGTGTAAAGTATGGACTATGGTACCATTCTTAGATGATTTCGTTTATGTCTGAGTTTAATAGCATATTCAGTTAAATATACTGAACTTTTCTGTCCAATTGTCCATTGACAGAGCTAGAAGGGTAGATATTGCCTTCTTTTCTAGGAGGTATAAATTGGAATTCTAATATTAAGGTGAGTGGAGAATCAGTTTAGAAAATATTTGTTTACGATGCTTCTTGATAGCATTTTAAATTTTATGGAAAACGGCATAAGTTTTTACATGTGGCTAATAAAAATTAATGAGAACGTGCATAATGCGATTTATCAATTATGACCACGATGGAAGAGAGATGATGTAATTTCTCTCAAGAAAATTATAGACTAATATAAATTATAAGCTTTTCTAAAAATGGCTATGAAATTTGAGTTTACTTTCCTTTTTAACATGCTTGATATCTCAAGCTCAACCATATATGCTGAAAAGTTCCTATAATGTCGTCCTCGTGATATAGACCACAAGACGCCTTAAATTGGCAAAATTTCTACATTTCTCATATTTCAGTGTTATTCAGGGGGAAAATTTAAAAAGTATGCTCTTCCAATAATTTCTGAAATTTTGAAATAGGAGCTAATCGAAGGACCATGTTGTCTTTTGTGAGAAAATACAACTACTCATATATGTAGAGAGCAGATTGATTTTTTTGTCAAAAATAATGATATTGTTATATTGGTTTATTATTCATCTGAAACCTGTGTGGCAAACAGGTGCTTGCCTTAAAAGAAGCATATGCTAAGAGATATATGTTTCTCATTAATTTTTGTGCTTACCTCCTTTTGGTAACTCAATCATAGGGGATGTCAAGAAACTGCTTGTGCAAAGAATTGGTTTAGATCCTCAAGGGCAACGACTCTTTTTCAGAGGGAAGGAAAAAGATGATGAAGAACAATTGCACACTGAAGGTGTGAAAGACAAGTCAAAGATTTTGCTTTTGGATGATGCTAATAGCAGAGAGAAGAAACATGAGGAAATTAGAAATGACAAAGAGATTTCAAAAGCTTCTGAAGCTGTTGCTGGAGTCAGAGCAGAGGTGGACAAGCTCTCAGAGAGGGTGAGCCTTTGTCTTCAATGTAAGTCTCTTGGAAGCTTTTAGCTGGAACATCATCTACATTATTTTAGTTTTTCAGGTGGGTGCCATAAAGATGGCTGTGGATGGGGGGCACCAAGTTTCTGAGCAAGAGTTTCTTGTCTCAACTGAGTTACTTATGAGGCAACTGCTAAAACTGGATGGTATTGAGGCTGAGGGCGAAGCAAAGTCGCAGAGAAAAGCTGAGGTAGAATATATTGTGTTATTGTCGCTGGATTGAAATTTGAACTTTGGTCTCTGATTGACACATTTTCCTTATTCATTTTACCTTCATATTCTTCCGCAACTCTACATTGTGTCTTATTAAACGATGGATCTGTAACAGGAGGTAGAGTAAATCATTTAAATTGCACCAAACCTGTTATAGTAAGAATAGTTGTGAACCCTAGGGTTTGTAGAAGTAGCACTTCTTGTCCTCATTCATATATTGTGTGTCTTCTCAACAAATTCTCTTTTTTTCTGTCGGTATTAATTTCTTTATTAGATTATTAGATGCTTCCTCACTACTATCTCCAGTCCTTATTATAAGAGCTAAATAGCTCATTTGGAGATATTAAAGAAATTAGTTTAAGTTGGTTATTTATAGTAAATGTGTGATGGCTTCCTTAAACTACCCTATTTAGTAATGTCAATTGAAACTACTCATTGGTGGGAACTCTTTATTATCTACAATTAATAGGGATACTTTGAAAAAAAAAATTATAAATTTGGGAAACAAAGTGGATTGAGATTTTATGTTTAGGACCAAATCAAACTTTTAACTAATTCTTATATTATGACCAAAAAGGTATTTCCTAATTTTAAATTGCAACCATTGGGAGTGAAAAGATGCACGGTTTCACTATTGAACTGTACCTTTTTAATCTTCTTTCTGTTGTTATCTGTATTTAATGTATTTAATTTGTGCATGATCTCATATTATAATTTGGAAGCCTGATGATCAACTTTGCCACCCTTCAACAGGTATCTCGCGTGCAAAATTATGTGGATACATTAGATTCTCTAAAGGCAAGAAATGCCAATCCGTTTCATGGTTTCAGTAACGCTGTGGCAGTAACAACCAAATGGGAGACCTTCGACCCTGAAGAGGGAAATGTGAATGCCCCAACCTCAACGTCATCGTCTTCAACTTCGACCAAGGTAACTCAAGATTGGGAGCAGTTCGATTAATAGTTGCTCTGGTTCCATTGGAAGTTGCTTGAAACACTTGGCTACAAAGCTGCTGCGACCATATTTTTCTTGGGCCTTGGTTTTTCATTTGAGGTTCAAATTTTTAGCTTGCCTTAGATGAAATACTTGTGAGATAAACCTACTCTTTGAAACAAAGATCCATTGTTACAGTTTGAGCTTATCTTTATTTCACTTCTTTCATGGTTGTAGTGTCTGTCATTGTTATTATTTGGTTTCGATTCACCGCTCTATTTTCAATCATGATCATTTATTTTTCACCCTGAACCACCATTAATCGGTTTATGTTGTAGGATATATTTAATACCCTTTATTAAAAGACCAAAATATCCTTCTAAATTTTAAACAAAAGTTCAGAGAGGCAGCAAACATCATCACCGCCGATGGAAGCTGAGAAACCCAAACCATCGTAGAACAGCAACGGCAATCCTATAAACCAATGTACGAATGAAAGGAAAAAAGAAAACAACCATTCGCATTCATTCAAGGATCAATTTAAAAGCCAACAAAGGATCACCTGCCTGCCAAAACCACCAATGTTGCAAAGTTAAGAAATCCAAACCACCGCATCCTAGAAGCCAAGTTCAGGACAAAATCTCAGAAATCACAACCAAAAAATCACGCCAGGAGATGGAATGACTCTGATCTGGGGAAAGAAGAACACTGATACAACCTAAAATTATAGTTCCACTATACTTTCACTTCATGTTCATTTTCATGGCTCTGAGTTTCATGCTACCAAATGGGCCATAGCTTTCATGTATTGTGATAGGCACTGAATCGGGACTCTATTCAATGCTTGAAAGAATGCGGTCCAAGTGAGTAAAGCAAATTTGTACGTGTCTGCCGTCATCCAAGAAATGACATTAAGGATTGGGACATCACATGTGGTCCAAAGAGACTGCGATAACTCGAGACTTTTCAGAAGTTCAAGGAAGACTGCCGATGAAGGAGCGAATGGTCTGGTTAGTAACATTTCAAGGACAAGTAACTTGTGTGGCCCGCACAGACCCATTTGATGCGTTTGGATTTGTGAGAATGACATTTTGATCTTCTTGAGCCTTCGAATTTCGAACGCAATCTTTTCTTTTTGTATTGAATATTATGATATGTTATAACAACAACTTTATTTTTAAAAAAATGAAGAACAAAGTTTTAATCATATCGTATTTGCAAAGAATCAAAATAAATGTCACTCTTCCTATGGATTTTCTAAATTTCAAGTGAACATTGAAAGGATGCAGGCTAAGCAGAACAGAGGTTGAAGTAAAACTAATAATTAAGGTTATATTTTGTAAAATGGTGTTGTTTTAAGGGAAATAAAAAAGGAGGGGGGAAATAAATTATAGAAATTTGGTATGAAGCAATCAAAGGAAAAAAAAAAACAGAGAGAAAGGGTTTAAAAGCAGCGAATTGTCATTAATTCCCCTGATTAAAATACCAAGATCGAGTCTTCGCAGTCATAGGCACTATTTCAACAAAAAATTGGAAAAAAAACTAATACTTTCAAGTGAATCGACATTAAATATTTATATAGAAGAATACTCAATGTAAAAAAAATAAAAATTAAACTATTTTAAACTGTAAGAAAAGACAAGCTAAGTTAGTCCAAATATTTTATGAGAGAAATTAAAAATTAGCGATGTCTGATCTATTCTGTGATAAGACGTTGCTAATTTTTAACTTGTTATTTTGATTTCTTCATCAAGATGTTATATGTAAGTATAAACAATCACCTAAATGCTGCCTCTGAAAAATCAGTCACGTTTTACAAAAAAAGAAAAGAAAAGAAAACAAATAACTTAGGTGGGAAGTTTCGTGTGTGCGCGTGTGAAATGTTACATTTTTGAATGCATTCAAAAAAGTGTTGCATTTTTGAAATCTCACATAACTTATACAACAAAAGTCCTTGAAATTAAATATACATTTCTGGGATGGAAACATAACTGTGACGCTACAAGTTTATGGTGACGCCTCTTGCACCACTCACGTAAGGTGAAACTGCAGAACCATGAACGTCTGATGAGGAACCATGCTTGTTAGGTTCATATCTCTCTCCGTCACCCCACAGTGCGTAGGCCTCCTCACCGTGCACGGCGTCATCGCCGATCTCGAGCTGCTCATCCGGCATCCTCAACGGTATAAACAAACGAATGGCCAGAAGAATGATAGAGGTGGACACCAAGTTCCATCCCGTCACAAACAGGGCTCCCACTATCTGCTTCAAGAACTGAATGCCGCCGCTGCCGCCGTAGAAGGCCCCCCTCGAATTGGTCACCGGCAAAGTCAACCGGCAGAGCTGGGGCTCTGCCAGGAGGCCAGTGAGGAGGCCACCCAGAAGCCCCGCCACCGCGTGTGTGTGAAACACCCCCAGGGCGTCATCAACCTGCATGCATTACGTAGGCATTTATATTTCTGAATAGTGACGAAATAAAGGAGGAGGGAACGCCGCGGATAAACCGTGGATTGGGACTTTGGGTTGGCTGCATTAATTAAGGACGGCAAAAAAGGCAAAAGAGACTGACAAATATGTGTAACCTAATCAGGATAGAAAGAACATGAGACCTGTTGGAGGAGAGAAGATTTTTTGTGAAGGATCATCATGGTGACCCATGGAATGCTGCCCGACAGGATTCCCATTACTATAGCCGCCCACGATTGCACCAACCCTGCAATGCATTATTCCATTCCATTTCATTTTTCTTAAAAGAGCAGCTTACCGTGATTTTATATCTATATATATTATATATATATATATATAAACACACACACACACCCCATCGAAGGTCATAGTCAACTTGCACCCATCCTTAATTTCGCCAGCTACCCTCACCTATCTTCATTAACCTTTCCAGATTTCTGCTTTCTCTTCCTCTTCCCTATTTACTCCCTTCATTCTTTCACTATTAGTATTTTCCTTCTCTTTTTTACCCCTTAGTTAAGGTATAACTTTATGTATCTTCTCTATCACACAAGTCCGTCTGTGTTCTCAGTTTGTTCTTTACCCACTGAAATTACATTTTTGACACTTACACTCTTACCCCATTCAAAGGAGTCAGTGCTTGCTTAGTTTAACTTATTTTAAACGATTTTGTATCGAGGGAGATGAATATGTTAAAACAATATTATCTCCTAAAGTAAAAAAATAATTGTTGGAAGCAATTTCTAAGTCTTCGGTCAATCACAATTAGATATTTTTTTCCCAAAAAATATCAAGTCCCTCCAATCTTAGTACAAGTTGCAGTTGAAAATTCAACCAAAACAACTTTCGGCTTCCAACAATACAAGTTGAGTTAAAGAAACAATTCAAATTAAATTAACATATTAATTAAAAAACTTAACTCTAAAGTTAATAACACTCAACTTGATTAATAAAACTCAACTCTAAATGTACTTCTTCGATTATCTAGCAATTAATGAGATTAAACACGCATGGTTTTCTATTTGAATTTTTTTTGTGTGGTTATTTTACCCTAATAAATGACCGTAGGTATGGTATAAAACAATTATACTATGAACAAATGATTTAATGAATAGTTATGAATGGTTTTTTTTAAAATATTACATTACTAAATTAAATTTCATTAAAATTTGTAGTTACTTATATTTAATAAAAGTAGTTTGGTTTCTCCCATTTTATCACTAGCATCCCTAATATTTTTATATGATTGAAAATTATATTAAAAAATGGATATCAATAAACTTAGTAATTTACAATGAAATATACAATAGCACACCTGCGCCGGGGGTGATGCAAACCAGTCCGGTCATCATACCCTGAACGGCCCCGATCACCGAAGGCTTCCCGAAGAAGACGACGTCCAGTGACGTCCACATCAAAAGGCTCGTCGCTGCACATATGTTGGTGTTCAACACCGCTATCGACGAGTCAACGCTCGCCGCGTACGGAGCTCCGCCGTTGAACCCCGACCACCCCATCCATAGAAGTCCCGCTCCCGCAAGCATCAGCAGCACATTGTTCGGTGGAAACCTCTCCCTGTCGCTCTTCAGCCTCGGTCCCACCTGAAGTTATGTAGTAAGTTCACGTCGCAATCATGATTCACGGGGGGATTGATACATTAAAAATCTTTTGACAAGGGAAGGGATTGGATTTTTGCTTACCCAGTACGCGGCGGTGAAGCCGGCAATTCCGGAGGAGAGGTGGATTACGTAGCCGCCGGAGTAATCCATGACGCCCCACTGGTAGAGGAAGCCTCCGCCCCATAAGCTGAATGCCCCTACGGTGTATGAGAAAATGAGCCAAAGGGGGACAAAAGCCATCCAGGCCTTGATGTTCATGCGACCAAGAACCGAACCAGCTAGCAGGATAAGCGTTATAGCAGCAAAAGTGAATTGAAAATACACAAGTGAAGCCATGGGAAAAAACGGCTCTACGGTTGGGGTTTCTAGAGTGCCATTTTTGTGAAAGTGAGTACTTTCAGGGACCTTGGCTCGATTTATGAGGAACTTTTGGCCTAGAGCTGGCGCACCCTTACCCCAGAAGGGAAGGAGTTGGTCTCCAAAGGCCATTCTGAAACCAACAAGGACCCAACAGATGAGGACAGCAGCGAAGGCATAGAGAGCCATGAAAGCGGAGTTGACAGCCCATTTCTTCTTGACGATGCTTGCATACAGAATCACAAGCCCCGGCATGCTTTGGATACCCACTAGTGTGGCTGCTGTCATCTGCCATCCGTTATCTCCTTTGTTTAGCCAACCAGGAGCAGCAGGGAGGTGCTCTTGGTAAGCCACGGGAATAGTAGCCATGGCTGCCGCCAAATTTCTGAGATACTTCAAGCAGCTTTGAGGTATCTATGAATGGTCTATAATCTCTGTGATCTGGCGGGGTTCTTAAGAATACACGCACGCACAAGTTTAAAGAGTATCTGAAAATCTTGGTTATAAGCCTGGTATTGGATGGATAGATCAGAGTTCAGAACAGTCGAGCTGCCTTAAATCCAATCAATCTTTGGAATCTGAAAATTCAGGGTTTGATATGAGGTGAGCTGTGAATAGGTTTCTGTTCTCTTTGGGGCTTGGCGGTGGGTTGGTATAGTTAAATTTGTGCCCATGTGTTCGAGAGGATCTTGAAATTTTGGATACCTGGTTTGAATCTTATGAAGTTTCGTGTGAACTGCGGTTGAATTTTCGTCTAAGGAGTAAGATAAGGAAAAAGTTTTTAGTAAAGACTTTGACTTTTGGTTGAAAAGAATAGAGGAGAGAGAAGGGAATGTCTCACGTGCCGCTTGTTCACCGTGTGAAAGTGTGGAGGAAGTTGCGATTATAGCTGACATGACGAAGCCTATGGAAGGTCAGAACTAGAATCATATAATCATGAATGTCTTGTTTGCTGATTGCTAGGGCATGCTCTGACTAAAAATTTGTTAATCGGGAGTTTTCCGTACAGAAGTGGATGAAAATGTAAGTTTTATTATTTAAATTGATGCCGTTGATGGAAAATAAAATGACGTGAATACACTATATAGATAATTATAAATGCTTAATTGCGTGTTAATAAATCTTTATCAAAGAAATGACGTATGAATAAGTGGCTGTCCATGTAACGTTCTTGACCTAGGCATTAAAAACCCTTTTCTTTATAAAATACACCCATCTTAGTTTTCATGAAGAACAAACACCTAATTTTCTAATATTGATGGGACAGCAAATTAATCTAGTTAGAACTTCTAGATATTTAGATCCAGAGACTTTTCTTCAATAGTACCCTTAAAAAAGTGGCATCGGAAATATGGAAAAAAAAAAAATTCAGATATGGGAAAAAAGTAATTAATGCTTCAAATTAAAACAAGCTGTTTCTTATTATAAGAAATAAAATCACACCTCCATTTATTTCTTATAGAGGAAATGGAACAGAGTGTTAATATTCCTACCTTTCTAAGAAGTGTCTTTAAATCCCACTCTATAATTTTGAATACCATACACGTCAACCTCCAAAAGAATAAAAATTTCGGAAGATTTTTGGGGGTTTAAAGTGCTCTATTACTACTCCAAAAATTTGTTATATTACATCAATTTGTAGAATAATAATTCTCCTATTTATGCTAATGTAGGAGAATTACAATAGCATAATAATGTGTGTAGGCTAATGGTGAGAAGAGCAAGATATTTGTGTTGTTGGATGGGCTACTTGTGTTGTGTTTACTCAATTAGAATTGATAATTGGGATTATGTATATGGAAGTGATAATTTGAGTTGGAGGCTTAGAGGTGTTTGGTCTGTGATAAAAAGTGTTTTTACATAAATTAAAACAAAACTCCTCTCGTATAGATTCAGATCTTCTCAAAAAAAAATTTTCCTTTTCTTCTTAAAATCTCATATCTACTGTTAGATTAAAAAAATATATGGTTCATATTTAATATTTTAAAAAGTAAATATCCACATTCTCTCTCCTCTTTATGTAATATTATAATAATAGTTTTATAGAATATGAAATCCGAACCATCAATTATTTGATCCAATAATGAAAATAGGATTTTGAAAAGAAAATAAGAAAAAAGGATTCTGAAAATATCTTCTCATCCTCTTACATATTTATTTTGTATACTGTAAAATTATTTTTTAAAATCATGCTTAACACCTCTACAAAGAGACCCCCTTCACATGTGGCATGCGGTCACATGTACTTTAACTCTTTAAGCTTCAATTCAGTCACATGGAGCCCTTTTATTGTGCAGTGTTCAATTAATGATGAGTTTTGGACCAACATGGCTTCTGTCATTTGCAGTCCCGTCCAACTTAACTTGGATGCTCAGATAGTCAGATTCAATGTTTTATAAAGGTAACAATTAAGATAAAGAAGTTAACGGAGACCAATAAAGATTGACATAAAAGGGTCCAAAATAATAGTGAAAACAACATTAAACAAACAAAAAAATACTCTTCCAGTCTCTAATATAAAATCTAATTATTAAATTGGTTTTGATTATAAATATAAGACCCATTTATCATATTTATCAATTTCCTCTAAATTATCCCTATAGGGACACTCATTTAACCATAATCAAATAGAAGAAGAAAATGGGGTATTAAGAAAGATGATTATGGTATTTTAAGAAAAACATGTCATATTTCTTATAATTAACTAACTTACCTAACTTCTTTAATCTAATCAAATTAGATAAATGGATCTTATATTAAAGACCGGAGGAGTACTTCAACAAGTGACTTTTCTCAACAAAACCAAAAAAAAACTTTAGAATGATTTTTGGACAAAAGAAAGTCAGTTGCTCCTAAAGCCATGCCAATTTTTTTTTTAATCCAATTAACTTTTGAGACTTTTTGAAGAAACATGTAGATGTGTGAGATATTTATTACTACCTCCTGTCCTTAATGTAGAAAATAGAGTTTTGTTTTTGGCCATTAACATAAAAAATAAAGTGTGTTTTACGTATTCAAATATCTGATATATATATATATATATGTATATATCTTGTATCTACCTTTGTTTAGAATTAATTTTAAAAAGTTGAGGAAAAAGAGTCCAACCCCTTGGGATTGTTAAATTGGTGGTTGAGGAGGAAGTTGCAAGTGGGATGTTAAAGTAGAAGAAACAAACAAGACAGAAGATAATGTTGAATCCCATCCCATTTTTTCAAAGTTCTATGACGATAGCCTCAATCATGAAATAAAAATCATCAAACGGAAAGTCCACCAACAACTTCAGCCAGCCCCTTTGGTTTTGCTAATAATCTGGCCAGCCTATCTTCATATTTCAATTTCTTCTAGAAAAGGCGAACACATGTCTGGCAGGCCTCTTTTTTACTTGACATTAACATTAAGTAATCATACTAACAACTTCATTAATTAATAATCAACATTAATTAATGGACTTCACCCTGAAAGAGAATTTGAATGGCAATGTGTCTAGCTTGACATGACTATTTCACTCCCAAACTTCAACTGAAATTGCATTCTGGAAATGCAAAGCAGGGGAAGAAACTATGGGCCATGATGCCCTTGGAATAATACCTTCGCTGCTGGCCCTTTCATACTGGGCCACTGCCTCTGACACACACAACTCCTTTCCTTTTCGGTCCACAGAATGCTAACTATTGTGTGTGTGTGTGTGTGTAATGACCTTTTTATCTTAATAGGAAAAGAAATGAATCTGGGTTCCAGAATTATGCCTATAACCTGTCTGGTTATTCATTTTTCAACATTCACTGACGCATCATTTGTGAGAAGCAGAAAATTAAAATATTGCCTTTGGACAGCATTCGCTTAGTTGGCTTTGAACGAAAGGATACACATAACAGCCTCTTAATTTTGTAAGAAAAAGTAGATAGAATCTTTATAAAATTTATGATAGGAAAAATTACTGGGAAAAAAAATTCTTTCATTGAAAAATTTATTATCTAAAAGTACCTAAAATTTGTAAATTATTGAGCAGGTGTAATTCTTTTTTGGCCTTGTCCAATTTATTTTCAGCTATACGTAATTGTCTTCTGTTTTGAAGACTTGCGCAGATTTTCTCTTCTCAATTTCATAAAAGCCACCATCAAACTTTCTTACTCCTTCCCCGCTCTCCATGGAACCATGTTAATTTAGGGCATTGTGGTCAAATCAGGCTTTCTCAGATTACATCGTACCAAAAATTCTAAGATATATGGATTCCTTTATTTTGAATGCAAAAGGCTATGGAAAAACTCATGCAAAAGGAATAACTATCCTAAATATGGATTATTAAGAGATTACTAGCTACAATCTATAGGCATATTATGAAAAATCATATACTAGTGATGAGCAAACCTTTGATGCTCATATCCTAGTACCCCAGATGAGACATAAGGCTCCTGGACTAATTACATTGTCTTCATTATGTTGTTAATTATTTCTATGAGTGAACGGTTGTATATTCACATCTCAAAATAAATAAAAGAGGATATTTTCATTATATTGTTTAGAAATACAAGGCACGACAAACTCGATGTCTTGAAGGTGAAGAAAAATAATTGAAAAGATAGGGAGGGTCCCAGAATGTGGGGGAAATGAAAATAAAGGATGAAAGGCCAAGAAGGAATTGTCTAATAGCTGCAAATATTCAATTAAATCAGTAATCACTTCAGTACGGTTCTGCCAATCTTTAACTTTCTCAGGCACGCGAGCCTCGTATTCTTATCCCTTCACTTCTGTTCCCTGTTCCATCAGTGATCAGCAAACAGGAACAACACAGGGCCAAGATATCAAAGACAAACTAGGATTATTCCCCTTGTATGATAAGCTGCAATCATACAAAACCAGTTCTTCCTCGTTCCAACAATATGCTCCGATTTTCTCGGGGAAGGCGCACAAGGAAATCATGCTTTCGCATTTATTAGGTAAAGATTAAAGAAAGACAAGACATGGGGATTGAGACCTACACCTCGTAGATTCCCTCAAACATCTGTCTTTTTACTATGTACTCTTCACCATGAAGGGACTCTACTCTTGAAGTTTATCCCTCAGCTCTGTTTTCTGCATTATCACTTCAATTCCTCAATTATTGGATGGGATTTGGACTGATTGCTGGAGGACTGGCTGTTGCTGCAAATTAAGTGGTTGGTAAAGAGTACGAATAAAAGAGTAGTTAGGGAGATGATTACTTAACAAGATTGAACAATAAAAAAAATCTTATTCTTTCAAAATTGAAACTTTTCCTAGATTTTCATTCATTTTTCTGGATAGAATTCTGGTGCTTTGCTTACGTAATATTTCCCCTTCTTTGTGACCTCAAATGCTTAGCTTTTACGATAAGATAAGGAAATACAACTAAAACTCTATATCTCCTAACTGACAACGGCTTGAAATCTAGAAGTTTAGCTGCATGATACTTGGCCTTCGATGAAAGGAACAAAATTGTACCCTGACTATAATTATTAATAGGATTACAATATACTGCTCCAAGATGTGATATGTCACACAGCTAGACAAGAGCACCAAACGCAAATAAAAATTATTAAGGTGAATTTAGTACCCAAAATATTTTTTTTCCAATGCATCCAATATCATAAAATATTTTATGGTATATCTAACATCTTGAAATATTTTTTTTACGTGTGTTTAATATCATAGAGTATTTTTTTATACATTCAGTACCTTAAAGTATTTTTATAGGTGTGTCAAATACTTAAAAATATTTTTTTGCTGTGTCTAGCATAAAATTTTTTTTTTCAAACTGTTGGACACACCTAAAAAATATTTCGAGATACTAGATACATCATAAAATACCCTGAAATAATGGATGTATTAAGAAAATATTTTGAAATACTGAATGCAGTTTGATCCAATAAAAAACATACCTCGTGCAAGATGCTTATCTCCTAAACTAGACGACACATGGAGACGCAGCTGACAACAAACTCTGGACCTATGGCTTCATGTCCTGGCTCTCCCCTTACT